CTGCCTGCCTGCCTGCGCCGCTTCGTGCCCGCTGCCCACCCCACCCCGCCCACCTGCCTGCCCCCACTTGCCGGCACCCCCCGCAGAGGGCATGCGGGCCCAGGCGCGCGCCCGCACCCAGTACCATTGGGACAAGCGCAGCAAGAAGTACGTCAAGCTGCAGGCGGGGGAGACGATCAAGGCCGGCAAGCGAGTGAAGACTGAGTCTGGGGCCAAGGTGGGGCCCCCCTGGGCAAGACCAGCTGGCTGTGCGGGCGATGCGGCAGGAATGTGGCACAGCCGGCAGCCCGCCAGCCTGCAGCGCAAACGCAGTTGCTGCTGCCTGCGCTCCGCCCGACTCTGCCCAGCCCAGGGGCGGGCCTCCGAGGGTCGCTGCCGCGTGCTCCATCCTGTAAGCCTGACGTGCCTTCCTGCTGTGGGTGCGTGCCTGCTGCGCGCCTGCTGCCCCTGCTGCCTGGGTGTGCAGGGCTCCAAGGGCGCCACCGGCATCTACCAGAAGTGGGCCAAGAAGACGCGGCTAAGGGTGGCCTCGGGGGGCACCGAGGAGCAGAGCAGCGCGCTGGCGGCCCAGGTGGCGGACAGGTGGGCCGCCACCTCTGCTCCCTGCCTCGCAGCAACAACCGCCGGAGAGGCGGGGGAGAGAGGCGGCTGCCCGGTTTTAGCCCCACTCGCAGCTCCTGCCGGAGCGCCCGCTCCCCACCCAAATGCGGCCGCCTCCGGTGCACGGTTGGCTCCCCGGCCCAGCCCCCCAGCCACCTCTCACCTGCCCCTGGCCTGGGGACGGCAGCTTCCCCACCCCACCCACCCTGTCGCCCTCTCACCTGCCCCTGGCGTGCCCCCCCTGCCTCTCCCGGCCTGCGCCTGCGCCTCGCAGGTTCAAGCGCGGCGGCCGTGGCTGGGCCAACCCTCTCAAGGCCGAGGTGCCCAACGCCGGCGCCCGGGAGGAGCTGCGCACCCCGGACCAAGTGCGCAAGGCGGCCAAGGAGGAGGCGCGCAAGCAAGAGCACCTGGCAAAGGTGGGAGGGGCTGGGGTATGGGGTGTGGGTGTGTGTGG